CCCCGCCCCGCCCCGTCCCGCCCCGCCCCGCAGCACGTCCATCTTAAAGGCTCAACAAGCAGAGCAGGGCGCGCTGCTGGCTGATTCCGTTTTACCGGGCGGCTGGCTGATTAGCGTGCGGGGCATACTGATTAGCGCGCGTGAGTGCGTACTGCGCAGGGAGAGAGAGGGGCAAACAGACGGACAGACGGACGGACGGACGGACGGACAGACGGACAGACGGACAGACGGACAGACGGACAGACGGACAGACAGACAGACAGACAGACAGACAGACGGACAGACAGACAGACAGACAGACAGACAGGCAGGCAGGCAGACAGACAGAGGGAGATTGACGTTGTTCTGGTTTTCATTCGTGCTAATTTTAAGGACTTTGAGAAACAATCTTGACCAAAAGTAGTGGGTTAAAGATTTAAGATCTGAATGAGTACATGTCGATTTTTATTTTTCTGGTGTCTCAATGAAGAGATTGTGTCCGACAGCCTGCTGGTTAGGCAAGATGCTGCGATGGCGTACAGCTGAGCTGAGCGGGTGGCCTACCCCCCGACCGGCAGGCGTTCAGCTCGGTCTGGCTTTACGGGCAGGCGATGAGAAAGGAGAGAGAGGGCGGGAGGGAGGGAGGGAGGGAGAGAGGGAGGTTACCGAGGGAGGGGAGGGTAGCGGGGCTCAACTAGAGCAAGGGGTCCCGCGCCCCGCGCCAGCGTCGTTGCCAGAATGGTTTTGTGCGGAGAACAAGCGCCCGCCTTGCCGGAGCCAGCAGCCGTAAGGACGAGCGCCTGGCCCGCCCCGTTACGGAGCCCTGCGCCTGATCATATACTGGACGGGCCGTTGTTAAAAAGCAGCAGCAGCAGCAAGCCATCGCTCATGAGCCGTGCCGCGGTGGATTCTTTCCGATTATTATTGAGTTTACAAGCCAGGCGCGGTGGCGCGGCGCGATGCGAGCGATATACGCCACTCACTGGTGCACCTCGCCCCGCCCCGCCCCGCCCCGCGCACGTGGAGCCGCCACCGGTGCGCGTCCGCCCCGGCAGCCCGGCCTGCGTTATGGCTCTATCAGGTCCAGCAGCCTCGTAATCAGCGGCCGCGCGTCTCGCCATCAGTGACCCGGATAAGGGCACAGGAAAAAAACCCACTAACAATAAGTACACAAACAACTAACTATTGCGATTATTTTAAAATTTTGTACATCAGTAACTAATATTCAAGAATATTATTTTGCAGTCATTTCAAATCAACTCCAACAAGATTAGAATTGTGAAAAATGAGTACCATGAACCGACCATGAAGCACTTCACATTCAACTTTTCATGAATTTTCAAAAAGAATAAACACATCCTCATCTTTTAGTACTCTTCAAAATTATTTCAACTCTACATATTTCAGTGCCCTTCAAAATTTCACTGTACAAACAACTGAATAAGTTCTCAGAAGGCACACAAAGCCCATCACCATTCCTCTCCCCCCTCGAGCGTTACATTAATACGTAGTTATTCGGATGGTGGGACACGCGGAATCTGGGGGCGCGATCTCGTTTGCTTGCTCGCCGCTGGCCGCGCTGCTGGCCTCCTCTGTAGGGCAATGGCGCAGGCCGGCGCGCGCGCCCGGCCGGGCCGGGCTGGCCAGAGGATCATTACCCTTAACGGAGTGCGAAGGAAGACTCGACCGAGACCCCGCAGGGCCGCAGGCCGGCCGGACTGCAAATTACGCTAAACTGGACTCGCGCGCAAGACGGAGGCATTCGTCGCTGTCGCTCCGGCGGCTCTACACTCCGCGCCCAGCGCCGCCGCCGCCGCCGCTACCGCCACCGCGGTGGTGCCGGAGCAGCCCACCTCGCGGCGGCTCCAGCAAAGCTCCATCAAGCTTCATTATTTTGTTTGTAATTATTTTTGTCCCCCACCCCCTTCCCCTCTCACTTCCTCTCATTGTTGTGTGTATTATTATTTGTTTTTCTTTCCACTTACGAATTAAATGTTTTTGAAGGATAAGAGTATAATCATACATTATACGAAAAGCCGTTATAATGACGAAACTCATTCATTCGCTTTTTAGGTTGACTCTAAAGACTCCTTTCCCTGTAGAACAGATCGTCTACCCCATTTACCTGTCTAATAATGACGAGTTCCATCTGGGGTCATTGTTGTAATGAGTGAACTTTTCAGCAAACGCGTTTGCACTTTTAAGGCACTTGCCGTTGCGTCTTCCTTTGCCGGCAAGACCACGGCACCGGCACGTGGTCGCAGGCGCACTATCGGGATCACCCTGCACACGTTCTCGCTATGAGTTTTACCCATGAGCGGCACGCACGCACGCACTGCACTGATCGCCTCCTCTCACAAGAAAAGGAATCGAGATAGTCATCGGGACTGCAGTCTTGCTAGGGCGGGGCGTGGCGGGGTGTGGCGGGGCGGGCCTGCTGTGACGCACGCCTCATTGGCGTGAAGGCACGTACCCACTTGCCGTGCTGTGCACCCGAGCAAGGCGGAGCAAGAAGAGTCATGCTCCCCCCAGGCCTGTCGTCGTTACAAAAAGGCTATATTGCTTCTCTTCAAAATTTAATTTTTCAGGCTACTGTAAAAGTCATCGAAGTTTCGGTGAAATTTGATCTAAAATGCCCATAGTTTTGTCCCAATATCGCACTATTTATTTACTCTGTTACTATCTGTGCCCTCTGTCTGTCTGTCTGTCTGTCTGTCTGTCTGTCTGTCTTTCCGTCTGTCTGTCTGTCTGTCCGTCCGTCCGTCCGTCCGTCCGTCCGTCCCTCCCTCGTCCTCTCGCTGTGTGGTCCTGCGGTGGTGCAGCGGCGTGCCAACGAGCGGCAGCGGCGGTGCGATTTATAAGGCGAATCATCATGAGGGCTGCATGCTGCTTATCGAGTGGTTACCGATGCCCTCACGGACACAGGTGGAACACACTGGAAAGAGAAGACCTCAGGAACCTTGAAACAACAAAGTAATGTCGCTGAGTGGACAAATGTATGTTTTGTTTGGATAAACTTTCAAAATAATGTTGCAACAGTTAAACCTGATTTCTAAAAAACATTTTTCTTTGAATTGGATTTCGATTTAGTTGGTATCCTTTTCTCCAGTCTAGTCAGGTGGTTCAATACCTCGACACACACACCAACCTTCATGCGCTTGCATCCCCCCCGGCGCCTTAAGGCATGGGACCTGGCCTGCTACAACTTGGCTCCACACCGAACTGGAAATTTCACCCTGGGCTCGACGTGTTCCAGTAGTGCGAGTCTGTGTTCCAGCGGGCGCGCAAGTTTGCGCACATCGTGCGCAAGTTTGCGCAAGTTGTGCGCATGTGTGAGCGAGTGTGAGTCGGAGCACGGCCTGGCCCCACCGCTGCCCAGGACCCGGACTCAGCCACGGTTTATCACGTATTCATGTAGTTGTAATAGTTACCGGACCGCATTAGAGGGACAGAGAGAGAGACGGAGGACGGTTGGACGGACGGACGGATCGACAGACAGTCAGGCAAAGCAGGCAGGCAGATAGAGCTCGTTGACGGGATCCCCTGATAGGAAGGCAACACTTGGTCTCGGGTGCTCAACGGGTCTGCCTACCTACGGGCTGTGAGACCGCTCACAGAGCGATGTTGCTCGAACGTCAGTGGACAGTTAAGCTGCAGATTCCGGAGCACAGAGGCTATACTATTGAGACAACATAAGCAAGCCAGCATATATGGGCGAAATAAGTTGACGTCGTAAAACGATGACCCTATGCGGCAAACAACTCTTTTGAGAGTCGTTTCTCGCTGAGTAAAAAGGAGCGGGCGGCACAGGCAGAAAAAATAAATGATGATACGGACGCGGGCCCTAAATGAACTCGTCCTGCTCGGTGCGTAGACCACCGCCGCCTCCGCCCCGGCGTACCCACCCACCGCATTACCGTACGGTACATTTTATGCAAATTGTGCGACACCGCGCCTGTGCGCGTGTGTGTGTGTTGTGGGGAGGGGGGCGGAGGGGCAGTTGATGAGGATCCAGGTCAAGAGTGTGATGCGTTTCCACGCACTGCCGCCGCGGGGCACCACAGGTCAGGCGGCATATATAAAACGCCTCCGGGCAACGCTAAAGGCTGCCACCGAAATTGGTGAAGCAAGCAGTGAGCAGGATAGAAGAAGGTTGGGGGGGGGGGGGATTTGCAAATGAACGGCGCGCGGCTGCCGTGCTGCAGGAAGAGGGACGCCCCGCACACGCTTCTTACAGTTGCGAGCGAGTGCCTTATCCAGCGCATGCTGCCGGGATTGTGAGAAATAAAGAATAAGCAGAGGGACTCGCGGGCGGATAATCACTCAGCCCGCTCCATGATGAGAGTGGCATGCAGCGTAAGGCATGTGGCGAATTTTCAAGTCGGCTGGCTGCCCTGAGTGGCGGCGGTGGTCCCGGCGTTGCAATTACACACGCAGATCGTGTAGTAAACGTGATGCTCGTGTAGCGGGGGCGGGTCGAAAGGGGGAGAGGTAGAAAGAGGGGGG